GACTCCATCCAGACCTCCAAGAGATAAGGAAATTCGAAGATGCTAAGGTGAATCAAGACATCCAACTCGCGCCAGTCCACCTACAGGAAGCAAGTATTCTAGAACTGCGCAACTTCAAGACAGCTTATGCAAAGACACTATTTAGAAGCTTCAGAATGGAGAACAAAACAGTCCAGACATAGCTCTAGCATATTGCGAGGTGAAGGAAGGGCTCTTATATTATCATAATAGAGTCTGGGTTCCAGAAAGTGCTCACGTCGAACTCTTACAAGAAATTCATGACCAACCAGCAATGGGACACCCTGGCATTGGGAAGATGATTCGGGTCATCAAAAGACAGTATTACTGGCCCCGGATGGATAAGACAATTATACAATACATCAAGAACTGCCATATCTGCAAAAGATCAAAACCTACAAGAGATGCTTATAATGGACTTCTTCAACCAATCCCTGTTGGCATCCAGCCGTGGCAGGACATATCACTCGACTTTATTACAGGATTGCCATTGTGTGAAGGAAACAATGCTATCCTTGTCGTAGCATGCCAACTTACAAAAGAACGCCATTTTATCCCATGTTTTGCAGGCCAAGAAGGCACAACTGCAGCAACAGCACAGCTACTCCTTCAACATGTATGGAAACACCATGGTTTACCAAATTCGATCATTGTAAGGATGCCTCCTTACACGGGGTACCCTCGGACCCATAAGACAACGCGGAATAGGCGACATAGTAGTATAGCAGCATAGACGTTCTAGGGTCGGGGTCGATTCGGGCGGCAGACGGGAGTGGATCTACCGGTACGCTAAGGCCTAGCCGAGTCGGACCCCATTTAGGTACATAAGGGGTAGGAAGCTATAAGCTCCCCCTTCATCTTTTTTGTATCCTTCGTAGTAGACCTATAGGATAGAATACAGCATCACCTCCGACTCGCACTCCCATATGCACCTACGGAGAGCCGTATTCCCTGTGTCCTTACAATCATATAACAAAATTGTCTACTGCCTTCCACCCAGAAACGGATGGGCAAACTGAGAGGTTCAATGCAGAACTTGAACGATATTTACGAGCTCATGTTAACTATCTCCAAGACAACTGGGTCGAATATCTTTGCATGGTAGAATTTGCAGCAAATGCTCTACCTTCAGACTATACAAAAATCAGCCCATTCTTTGCAAATAAGGGCTTCGAGCCAAGAATGAGTTTTGATATTAAGAACAGCAAGTTCCAAATAGCGCCACAGGAACACAAGGATATGATACAAAGCATGAAAGATATTTGAGAGTTTCTGCAAGACCAAATCGCACTCTCGCAAACTCGCATGGAGACATTCGCAAATCAACGCAGGAAAGCTGCACCAAGATATCAGGTTGGAGATCAAGTATGGCTATCTACACGAAATATCAGGACTCAGAGGCCATCGAAGAAACTCGATCACAAGCAAGTTGGTCCGTATAAGATTCTCGAACGAATTGGGCAAGTGGCATATCAATTAGAGCTACCACCAAGCATGAAGATACATCCTGTCTTTCACAGCAACCTCTTACGACTTGACTCAGATGATGCTTTACAAGGCCAGCACCATAAACCACCCCTGCCAATCGTTATAGAAGATGAACTTGAATGGGAAGTTGAAGAAATCCTAGACTCTAAATTCCTACGGAAGAAGCTGTTCTATATGGCAGCATGGAAGAACCACCCACCAGACAACACTTGGTATCCCGTGTAATGGTGGGTGCACCAGATGTGAGAATCTAGCCACCCAAGGGAAGGGATGATTTTACTAAGACAACACACTGTCTTAGGAAAAAGAGCCAAAGGGTCGTAGCTTAGACTATTCCACAATGCAGCAATCAGGTGTATGATGTAGTGGAGTGGTTTAGACAAGTTGTAACAAATGTTGAGTCTGAGAACTCAGGGATAAGTCAGAGGTTAGCACCTCACTGACTTTTCAGAAACAAGGAGTAACAAGATGAATGCTTGGAAGCTTGGAAAAGACGTGGAAGTATGTGATAGTCGATTTACTGTATTGTCTGCTTGCCCTTTCTTAAGGAAAGGGCAATCCTATTTATGCTAAAGGAATGTAGTTCTCTCATTTTCCAAGACTTTCCATGACTTACCAGGCTTGGTAACTGTAGTCGATGTAAGAGAATCCCATAGAACCATCTCTTAGGTTCGTAGCCTATAGGAAGTAAAAGGAGGTCCAAGGTCAGAGTACCCCTATAGACAAATTATGTCATAGACAAATTATGTCATAGCTTAACCAATCTTGTCGGTAACTAAAGAGCGATGACATATAATGAATCATAGAGGTTCGTAGGAGCTTTTAGAGCTATCGTTCATGCTCCTAGGCCTCTAGTTGGTAGAGATATGTCATGTGGTAGTATGAGTGATGTCATGTAATGAATCATAGAGGGTTGTAGAGATATGCTATGTGGTAATATCGGCCCAGTAACTAAGGAGCGATGACGTGTAATGAATCATAGATGGTTGTAGCAATCGTTGAGTAGTATTGCTCTTGTTGTTGGTGTGATAAGCCAAAATATGTATAGTGACTTGTAGGTTTGAGGAGGAGATTTCCAAGTTTGCTCTTGAGTTTGATAGCAAACTGAGTGCAACGAATGTCAGTATGACATCCCGCTACAAACTTCAACAATGCACCTGAACTCACACAAGCTTTCCACCGAAAATACCCACAGAAGCCACAATGATCTTACTCTTGATCAGGAGATCAATCTTAGTAGGGGGGGGGGTAGTGTTACGATTATAGCTTACAGCTTGTTATGGTTGTTATGGTTGTTATGGTTGTTATGGTTGTTATGGTTGTTATGGTTGTTATGGTTGTTATGGTTGTTATGGTTGTTATGGTTGTTATGGTTGTTATGGTTGTTATGGTTGTTATGGTTGTTACGGTTGTTATGGGTGCAGCTTTAGCCACCAAGGCTATAACCGCTAAGCGGACAACTGTATATTACGAGGAATAGCCCCACCTTCCTTCCTTCTTCTTCTTCTTCTCTCTTTAGATTTAATCTAGCTTATTATTTTCCGGACTGGCTTCTTGACCTCTGTGACTATCGTAACAGAGTTCTCAGAATCTGAGAATAGTGGCATCACGGATCCAGCATCATTTTTGCGCTCTTTAGAGCGCGTGGAGAGGCAATTAGTGGCCAAACAGGCCAATAACTTGGTTCAAGGCACGTTGGATGGATGGATGGTTTAGCTGAGGGGCTACTTCAGGTCTACTTCAGATCACTTTCTAACTTGATATTACTATAACTCGATATATTTATGCATGACCAATTACATCGACTTAACGAGATAATACTGTATGTTATCAGCTCTTTGGGTTGGGGAGGAGATGGATGCAATACTTGATCTATTTGACTGCTTCACAAAACAGCTTGGAGCTGCTACGAGGTGGAGGACTGCGGGGAGACGGAGAGGATAGGTGGAGGGAGGAAGGAATGTGAGCGAGATGCTGGCTGCAAGGGGGGTCTAGATCTAGATCTAGATCTTGCGTAGCTTCTAGGCAGCGGCAGGGGCCGTATGTGTTTGTACAGATCTAGATTTGGTAGGGTTTGTTTTTGGCGGTTTGGGTGTGTATTTGTATTACCCACCTCTTCTCACTCGGTGGGGAGCGGCGTTCTCCGCGCCTCCGCGGCGCTGGAGAGACTGTTCGCTGGTATGGTTTGATATTTACTTACCATAAGTAGGAGAGCAGAGGGACAGGAGCTGAGGAACAAATAGGTTAAAGAGGGGTAGATATCGAGGGGTAAAGGGGGATAACTGGGGGGCGCGAGAGCTGTGACGCAACAGCGGTATCCCGCATGATCGGTGCAGTGACCTACAATCGCAGGATCTCGATCTCGATCCCCCAATCATGCGGACGAGCACGCGAAGGGGTTGTGGTGAGGTATGCAAATTTATTCTCTGCTGCTGCCAAATGCGTGGGTCAACTGAGACAATCGAATCTCAAACAAACTTTGCCCCCCTGTAATACTTTCTCCCTCTAGCGGGTTGTGACTTCGCCAATCGCCTCAATCCCAATAAATTCAAGCGCGCGGCTCCTCAATTTCCCCCAAGACGCCGCCGCGATCCGCCGCCGGAATCTTACGCAGATCTCCCAGATCGACCTCCACTGGGTCCCAAGTACCCATAATCCAGAAACCGCACAAACCCAAACAACCCGAAAATTACAAAGTATCTAAACTCCACAAAACCAAGGACGTCCAATAAAACCGGAAATCCAGAAAACCAGCAAACGACTCTATCAATCCACTTCAAGCAAACAACGCATGGAGGCGGTTATCCGTCGAAAACAGGCCATTTTTCCGAGATGGGTTGGGGATGCAGTATCGATGTTTCACTACGTAGGGTAGCCATGATAGTTCGAGGGTATGTGGCGCTCGAGGTCTTGGGGAGGCTCTGTTTGAGGATGATACATTTTACCACAGGGATGAAGGTGGAATGATATGCAGTCTATCCTAGTGAGGAGTATACGCAGAGTATCTATTTAGGACATGATACTGTCATTAACTAAGACAGCCATGCAGCATTGAGAAGATAGAGCTATCCCCTCCACCACATCTCCCTCCTACAACATCTGCATCCCCCCATAAATATCCCGAAAGAGCTACGACGGCTAGCTCTTGCGCTTTACTCGCATTCCAAACTGCCTAGATCAAGAGACCTGCAGTACTTGTGCTCTAAGGTGCTTGGCTAGCGATGGGAATAACTGGGTGATAAGGTGGTGCTATAGAATTGCTTAGAAAGGGCAGGAATATAGTATAGGGATTTGTGCCGCGATGCAATCCTGCTGTAGCGACGCCGTAGCACGACTTATTTATGCCACGTGTTGAGCTCGGTTTATCTTATAGCGAAGGGTTACACACTATGTTCGCGACGCGAGGAGATGAGATTAGGAGGTTATTGGTCTGTTGTCTGCGATGGGTGGGTAATGGGCTGGAACAGCGAACTGAAGACTAAGCACTTGTGTGACTCTAGAAAATAACATGAGTAAGAATATCTATGCTGACTGATATGTTAAAACCAACCACCTACATACCGTCTTCTCTTCGGCCCACAACAACCGCAACAAATACCAAGCGCGACAAAGATATCACCATGCATCCCCTATTCTTCTACCTGCTTTTTTTCTCTCTCATTCTCTCACTCAGCTCTTACACTCCCACCGCTAACCTACCTACCTAACCTACCTACCTAACCCCGTCACCGCCAACAAAGAAACGACGCGTCTGTGTCCCGTAATACGCGGCACCGGATACCCGCGCCGTTGCACAGCTATATCCGCCTGCGCCTGTGCTCTTGCGACAAGGCGAGTGCGGTGGCGAAATGGGCGCGCTGCATTAGACCCCCCTCCTACTCATGGATTTGGAAGAGGAACTAGGAGGGCGATAGGTAGAAAGACTGGCGAAATATCGTTGAGATAGATGTGAGCACGAAAGGGCAGTTAGCCGGGAGAAATTTACCTGGCCCTCCGCGGACATCGGCACCCCCTGCCGACGGGGTCGAGGGGGTTATTATGTACGCGGGCAGATTGGGTGGGCGAGCTACGACGCTGCAAGCTAACCTCCTTCAGGCCCCCCTCCCTCCCGCCGGAGATGCGAGGCAGAGAGGCGAATTGGGGAGATGGGTTTTTAATCCCGATGTGGGGTCAAGGGGTAGGTATAAGGGGGGGTGGTTGCGCTGTTGGAGGGGTTGTTTGAGGGGCATACAGCTTTGAATCATCGCCACTTACCTACTTACCGATTAATTGTTTCGAGATGATACGAGAGTCTGCTGTTGTGGATGAGAAGTGTGGTGATGGTGGGGATGGGGGGAGTAAGAGTGAGATGGTGCAGGGGGAGCCGATTCAACGCCCACCGATACTACGACTAGCAGTAGGAGACTCACCGATGAAAGACGCTTCTGCGAGTTATCCAACAGACTCAACGACAGCAGATTCGACAACCTCCTCTCTCTCCGCGGTTTCCATCGCAAAATGGTCTGCCGTGACGTGCACATCTCCTACCATAGACAGCCCCAGCGGCACAGCAGACATCGAGCCACCACCCGACGGCGGGTACGGCTGGGTGTGCGTCCTCTCCTGTTTCTTAATCAACGCCTTCAGCTGGGGTGTTGTATCTGTGAGTCCCCCCTTCCCTTCCCTCCCATCCCATCTACCTCCCTCCCTCCACCCCCCCCCTCCCCCCCCTTTCACTTTCCACGTCCTCCCGCCCTGCCTTCTTCACCCCACTCCCACCACCAACCCCCGCACTAACCCCCACCAGTCCTACGGCGTATACCTAGCCTACTACCTCTCCCACCCCCTCTTCCCCACCGCCACCCCAACCACCTACGCCCTCCTCGGCGGTCTCAACTTCGGCACCGCCACCCTCTCCGCCCCCCTCCTGACCATCCTAACCCGTCGCTACGGTCCAGGGCGGTTAATCCTCCTCGGCGCCTTCTTGCAAACACTCTCTCTAATCCTCGCATCCTTCGCTACGGAGACGTGGCATCTCCACCTCACACAGGGGGTGTTGCTGGGGTTGGCGGTGGGATGCGCGTATATCCCGTCTGTAGCGATACTGCCACAGTGGTTTGAGGCAAGGAGGTCGATAGCGGCGGGGATTGCGGCGGCGGGGTCGGGGTTGGGGGGGGTGGTGTTTTCGTTTGCGACGCAGCCGTTGATTGATCGGTTTAGTCTGGCGTGGTCGTTACGCGCTATAGCTGTTATATCGGGGAGTATGTTGCTCGTCGCTGCGTTACTGCTACGCACGCGCAACGCCGCGATTCAACCCAAACAACACGGATTCGCGATCCGGCTGCTAGCGCGTTACGAGGTTGTGTTGTTGCTGGGGTGGTCCTTCGCCAGTCTCGTCGGATATATCGTCCTCCTCTTCAGCTTGTCGGATTTTGCGCAAGCGATAGGCATGAGCCCCCACCGCGCCGCAGACATAACAGGCCTCGTCAACGTCGGCACCGCGCTCGGCCGCCCCTTTGTAGGCGCATTAAGCGATAGATGGGGACGCGTCGAGGTCGCGGGGGTGGTGACGGCGGTGTGTGGGGTGAGTGTGTTTGCGGTTTGGGTGCCGGCGGAGATGGGGGGGGAGGGCGTGGTGATGCTTTTTGCGGTGTTGGCGGGGGCAACGCTGGGGACATTTTGGGTTGCGATTGGGCCGTTGTGTGTTGAGGTTGTGGGGTTGGTGGAGTTGCCGGCGCTGTTGTCGTTGGCGTGGGTGGTTATTGTTGTGCCTTGTACTGGTGAGTTTATGGATTTTGTTTTTGTTTTGTGTTGTGTTGTGGGTTTTGTCTCTGGGTGTTGTGTTGTGGGTGTTGTGTGTATTGTCTCTTGAGTCGTGTGTTGTGGGTGTTGTGTGTATTGTCTCTTGAGTCGTGTGTTGTGGGTGTTGTGTGTATTGTCTCTTGGGTCTTGTGTGTTGTGGATGTTGTTGGATTCAGTTCACGAGTTATAACCCCCCGAGGTAGCAGCTACACCGAAGCTAACACCCACCAAACAGTCTCAGAGGTAATAGCCCTCAAACTCCGGACCCGCGGCACGGCACACCCCTACATCGGCCCGCAAGTCCTCGCCGGCACGGCATACCTCGTGGCAGCGGGCATCATGCTCGAGCTATGGCGCGTTCATCGTCGGAAAGCGGGAAGGGCGGCGGCAGGGGTGGATGTTGAAGAAGGGTGATGGGAGGTGATGGAGGAGGTGATGGAGGAGGTGATGGAAGAGGGTGATGGAGGAGTGATGGAGGAGATGATGGAGGAGTGATGGAGGAGATGATGGAGGAGTGATGAAGGAGGTGACGGAGGAGTGATGAAGGAGGTGATGGAGGAGGTGATGGAGGAGTGATGGAGGAGGTGATGGGAGAGGTTGTTGACAGCAGGTGGAGGGAAAAGTATGACACACACGGGATCAGGGAGGAAGGAGCGAGGTGACTAGCTCGGCTTGGGGAAGCGGAATGCGTCGGTCGGGAAGGAAGTGGGGGGATGATGGGAAAATCTGTATACTCGAGTACTGTACTCCGTACCCTTTACCCTTTACCTCTCTCCTCGCCCTCTGTCCTCTCTCCTCGCCCTCTCTCCTCCCCTGCAACCCGCGCTAAAACACGCCCTTGGGGACGGCAAAGCAGCGAGCAGGGATCGCCCCGTACCCATCAAGTACCCACCAAGGTGCATGGGGCGTGTTCTTGGCACCTGGGTCGATGATGAAATGGACAAGGAATGAAGATGGAATGGATGATATGGTGGAAGTTACGGAGTACAGGGAAAGGGGACGAGAGGTACGAGACCCATGGTGATGGAGGGGAGAGTCCCATGGTTATTTATGACCAATCGCCCTTACCTTTTCCTGCCCCTCCTTCCTCCCTCCTTCCTCCCTCCTTCCTCCCTCCTTCCTCCCTCCTTCCTTCCTCCTTCCTTCCTCCCACGGTCCGTGTATAAGATCGCCTTTGTCCACTTGATGCTTCACTTTTTACAACCATGACTTATTGCGCCGACGTGTCTATCCAAGAGACACACACTGCCTAGACGACCATTCTGTCGTGATGTTCAGTGATATATTCGACTTGACGTCTCGGAAGTGATATCCACGCCTGCACTCACAGGACTTGTCACAAACATTTCCAACCTCACAACCTCACAACCTCACAAACTCACAAACTCACAAACTCACAAACTCACAAACTCACAAACTCACAAACTCACAAACTCACAAACTCACAAACTCACAAACTCACAAACTCACAAACTCACTCACAAACTCACAAACTCACAAACTCACAAACCCAACACCACCACCACAACCACCACAACCATGGGCCTCCTCCTCTTCTCCCCCGCCTCCCTCCGCAACATCGAAGTCATCCTCTCCGCCGACCCTCCCAGCCCAACCCCCACCCCCAATCCCATCCACTCCTACACCACCTACGATGACATCCGGGGCCACATCCTCCTCACCACCAGCATCCCCCAGTCCTTCTCCTCCGTCGAAATCTCCCTCCTCGGCACCATCCGCACCACCCACCCCGATCACATCGCCCCCATCATCGCGGCTGCGGGGACGCAGCACGTATTCCTCAAACTCACTATGCCGCTTCCCCCCTCCGCCTACCTCGACAACGACGGGTCAGAAACCCACCACCTCGCCCCGGGGCAGCCGCTAAAAATCCCATTCCACTTCGTTGTACCAGCGCGCCTACTACCGGTGGCGTGTACGCACGATCTCGAATCCCCCGCCATCCACGACGCGCATCTGCAACCCCCGCCGTCGCTAGGGAACTCCCTCCTCCCCCGCGACGACCTCACGCCGGAGATGGCGAGTGTCACCTACGGCATCCACGCTAAGATCATGTCCGTCCCGCCCAGCGCGTCAAGCTACCCGCAGACTCTCGCTTCGACGTTGCGGAAAATCCACGTCGTCCCCACGTCTCCCGAGGCTCCTCCCCTGTCGGCGGGGAAGGATAGTAGTAGATACGTGCTTTCGAAGACGAAATCCCTACGCCGCGGGGTCTTCAAGGGGAAACTAGGAACCCTAACCCTCACCACCACCCAGCCGCGCGCCTTCAGCCTCCCTCCCCCGCCGATGAACCATACCGCCCCTACGCCATCAACGCTAGCAACACTAACCCTCCGCTTTGACCCCGCGGACCCCTCATGTCTCCCACCCCGTCTGGGGGCGCTGACGGCGAAAATCCGGGCGACGACTGTGCATTCGATTAGACCGGCTAGGGGGATCCCGGATGAGGAGACGAGGAGTAGTCCGTATGAGATACACAACGGCGCGTATAGCACCCAGGTCTCGCTGGCGTCGCATGAGGTTACACCTGCGGCGGCGCCGTGGACTTATGTTGTGCCTGCGCCGGCGTATGAGAGGCGGGATTCGGGGTATTCGACTGCGGAATCTGAAGGGGAGGTGCACGCTGCGGCTGCGGGGGAGGCGGGAGGGGGGAAGACGGGGCCGTATTATACGGCCACCATTCCCCTTCCTCTAAATCTGCCGGGGAATAAAACTTGGGTCCCTACATTCCACTCCTGCCTCGTCTCGCGGTTCTACACACTCATGATTAGACTCATGGTTCACCCCCCGGGCAAATCAGCAGTGCGGAGTAGCTTGGCGTTGAAGGTCCCGGTGCAAGTCCTCGGGCAGGGGAGGGCGGGAAGGGAAGAAGCGTTTGAAGCTGGCGGAAGAGCAGTAGTGGAAGGCGCGGGGCTGGGATGGGAGGGTGAGGGAGGTGGCGATCTAGATATGGGTGGTGTCGTGGAGGGCTTGGCGGGGGATGAGTTGCCGGGCTATGTTACGCCTGCTACGAGGTTGAGGAGGAGGTGAGGGGTTTGTATCTGGATCTAGATTCAGCGACCTGGATTTTGTGTTGTGTTTGAGTTGCGGATGTTGGGCTTGGGCTTGGAAGAGGGAAGAGAGAAGAATAGATTGCATGTGCAGCTGGTCCTGGTCAAATCGATTACTGGACGAAACGGCTGATGTTGGAGGAAGCGGAGATACCCCATGTTTCAACACTACTATCGGCGGGCGAATTAAAAAAAAGCGGCAGTGCCTGATTGAGCGAATTGTAATTTTTGGTTTTTTTTCGATGGGTTTTATGGGTTTTATGGGTTTTTTGGGTTTATCACATTGGTTTAAATGGGCTGGCTGTTTATTGTACTCGAGTAACGAACATGTATAACGAACCGGCCAAACAAGCGAACCGGCCAATCCATTTTACACCTTAAATCACGAATTTCATAACTTAATATCTCAACAACCCTTTAATAATAAGTTATAAAAATATGTACTTAGCCTTTTATAAGCATTTAAAGTACTCTATTTGATTTTTAAAGCAATTAGTATTGTAGTTATTAAGATACTAAGAATTAGGTCAAAAGTGGGGGCTAAAACTCAATATCTTAATAACTACAATACTAATTGCTTTAAAAATCAAATACAGTACTTTAAATGCTTATAAAAGGCTAAGTACATATTTTCATAACTTATTATTAAAGGGTTGTTGAGATATTAAGTTATGAAATTCGTGATTTAAGGTGTAAAATGGATTGGCCGGTTCGCTTGTTTGGCCGGTTCGTTATACATGTACGTTAGTAGCATACATAATTTAAATTAAGGGTAAAAGAATCATATACCATGTAAACTAGTAAAAATGAATCGCTTACCCCTGTGATACTATTTTTTGATTTTCTACTGTGCTAAACCGTAATAGGAAGGCCCCCCCCCCCCTATTCGGCCCACTTTCACCGATCCCCCTTCCTCCACCAATTCGACTAACACCATACCGGCTCCGAAGGCTCGAAAGCCATCTTATCGCCTTGCTGACTTGCCAGCCGCCGCCCTCATTGTGGCAAGCCCTGACTGAGAAGTCAGGCGGGTCCGTATGTCTGCTCTCAGAGAGCTCTCCGTGCCAGAAGATGGCACGGAGTTTGACGATTTAGATGCTCTCGTCCGGGCCCTTGATGACTGGGCTGTCAAAACAAAGTTCTCTTTTTGGACGGCTGAAAGGGACTCGACAAGAGGGCGCTGGATATGTGCCGAGTTAGAGAGCTCTGGCTGCCGCTGGCAGTGCAGAGCCTTCCTTAATAATGATAAAGCTTGGCAGCTCGTCATTACTGAGAGAGAACACTCTTGTATTGGCCGAGGAGTCTGCTCCTTTGGGTCCTCCTCGAAAAAGGAGTGGTTGGACCTAGTAGTAGCCTGTCATATTAATATAACGAAGGTTACTCGGCCAAAGGAAATCGTTGACCTCCTCCGCATACGTTTTGCAGAGGAGATCAGCTACAAGATTGCGCAGCTTTGTAGGCTGCGCCTTCTTGATGGTGATATAGGTCGGCAGCGGCATAGCTTTCAGCTATTGCCGGCCTATAAGTTCCTCCTAGAGAGTAGGTCTCCAGGAGTGCAAGTTGATCTCGTCCGAGATCGTCATAGTATGCACCCCTTTTCCTTTTTTTACTTCTTTATTCCTCTATACTAACTATCTACAGACTGCTTTCAGCGGATTTTTGTGTGCCCTGTGCAATCGCGGGGCACTTTCTCCTTGTGCCGGCGCCTTGTTGCTGTTCACGGGACCTTTTTGAAGGCCCGTTTCATACTTACTTTGTTACTCACCGTTGGCATCGATGCCAACGGCGAGAACGTTCTCCTGGCTTGGGCGGTGGTGGAGTCCGAGAATCGGGACTCCTGGGAGTGGTTCTTCCAGCATCTCCGGTGGTCTATACCAGAGATCTCACTGGAAGAAAGCACCCTTATCTCAAATCGAGACAAAAGTCTCCAAAAAACAGAAAAAACTCTCGAGAAGATGGTGATAGTGGCTTAGTGTTGCCACCATCTTAAAGAGAACTTCACTGAGAAGTTTGGGAGGAGACTGGCTCCTCTGTTCTGGAAAGCAGCTCGAGCACCTACTCGTGTTGCTTTCGAAGCTGTTTTAGACAGCCTTAGAACAGAGAAGCCAGAGGCTGCGGCCTATCTCTTGGCTTCTGAGCCAGAGAAATGGGCTGAGTCGATGTTTCGTGGGCGTCGATATGCCCACGATACATCGAATATTGTAGAGAGTCTGAATAAGACTCTCCTTTCCGATCGAGAGCTCCCGATCGTTGAGCTCCTCGATGCCATTTGGCATCGAGTTATGTCAGCGCGCGGAGAGCGCCTTGCTGCAGCTAACAAACTGTTAGCTGCAAGCCATAATACTACACCTTTCGTTGATGGTGTAGTATCAGAAGGAAGAGGATGGGCACAAGGCAACATATGCCAAGTGTCCTCTCCTTCTGAAGCACGAGTGATTCAGCCCAATGGGCGAATCTTCCTCGTTGATCTTGCAGCAAGAACATGCTCTTGCCGCAAGTATCAAGCAAATGGCATACCCTGTGGGCATGCCATGGCCTTAATCTTCGCCCGTGGGGACCAAATAAGTCCTTACTTACCTGACGCTTTTTCGGCTGCCCAATGGGCAGCCCAATTCGAGGCTCCAATGCCTCCTGTCGACGTTTTGGAGCTAGAGGTCATTGAAAATGACCCCTGCGAGCCTCCTATCACTCGGGTGCCTCGCGGGAGGCCTAAAAAAGAGAGGTTTCGGAAGGAGGCAGCTCGCCGGAGGGTCCGGCGAGCTGGTGAAATAGGAATAGAGGTTTATGGGCTTGAACCTCTTCCACCTACTCCATCCTTGCGCTGTAGAACCTGTGGAGAGACAGGTCACAACGCCAGGACATGCCGCCATCCTCACAATTGAGGATGGCGGCATGGTTTCTATGATTATGGGCTAGGGCGAGCAGGGGTGGAGGCACTATGTGGGGAGGGCGCATGGTATATAGTTCTTTTTTGCAATTACATGGTATATGATTCTTTTTTACTAGTTTACATGGTATATGATTCTTTTACCCTTAAATTAATTATGAATCTACTCCATTTGATTTTGATTTTGATTTTCTCAGAGCCACCACCCCACAGAAACTCTTCCCCCGGGCCACCCGATTAGTATTTAAAGGCACTGGAGACGCGCTTGATTCAGCTGGGCAGAGATGGCAATTCTGCCACAATGGCATATAGAGAGATGGTACGCGTGCCGTGTTAGCCAGCCATTTACCTGTCTGCGTGTCTACCTATCTGTCTGTCCGTCCATCTGTCTGCCGTATTCTCGTGACGAGAAGTGACAGAACACTGTCGACAACGACAACCCCTGATGTACTTGGTGCCCGACGTGACCGTCCAGTACTCTCTATCACGTGCTAATGGCTCCATATTCTATCCTCCGAAGATGTTGCATGAAAGCAATGAAGGCATAGCCGAAGATAAGACACTTGCATACAGTTCTAGTTGGTGTAGAGTAGCTCAAAAGCTTCGTAGGCATAGTTAGTAGTAGTGCGCTAGCACGAGTCTGTGGCGGTGTCGTTATTAAATCACTAATATTTCGGTCGAGGTACACTCATCATGTGTATTGTATTCCTGCTTGGAAGGAGCTGCCCCACATGATGTCGGCGAAGACATGGCACATGTGCCAAAGTGTCGAAATCAGTTCTATATCGATGATCAAGGTGATATAGTCAAGGCGTAAATATGCAGCGCACCTAAAACAGCGCGCCTAAAACAGAGCGCAATCGAAATCGGCCAATGCTGTAATTGGTTGGTCGGCGGGAGCCTTATGCTAGTGGAGCTGCATGGTCGATGATGTGAGGTTCTAGTCTGGCAGTGACAATCTCGGTGTAGTATCTCTTCTCACGGAGTTGTAGACGAAATACTTGGTGTTCCACCCACTCGCTTCGCTCGTAGGTGGTGACAGCATGTTGTGCGTGGGACAGCAAGATGTGCGTACACCGCTACTTTGATATATAGAGAAAATAATAGTATTCTTCATAACATAATATCTACAATGCCTCAAAATAACGATCCTAGTAGGACTGCTCGCCTTAATGAGGCCTAACTGTTCTCCTTAAAACAACCAAGTACATATACAATTGCTTGGGTTGCAAATAAATCCAATGTCAACCGTGAGACACTCCCACGTCGTATTACTATGTCTCCTTAATTACCCCACAGAGATAGCAATCGAGTCTTATCTCAATTGCAAGAGACTGTAGTCTGTCAATTCATATACGACCAACTTAAGCGCGGGGTCCCTGCCAACCAATCTATGATACTACGGGTAGTTGTAGACTTATGACCTAATCGTACAATACCATCACAATGGTGGCTACAACGCTTTCTAAAAGCACACCCTAAATTTTATACAATTCACACGAAGACGTTAAATACATCGGAAGCAAGCACAAAAGAAAGAGTTGTTTGAAAAATTCTTTCTCACATACAACGCCCTTATTACAAAACATAACATTAAGCCATATAATTTATGGAATGTTGATGAGACAGGCTATATGATTGGGTGTTATAAGTCTACAGCTGTTATTGTACCAATTGATATAAAGCAGTAGACTGTTAATAATCCTTAGAATTGGCTCTCTGTTACTGTAATTAAGGCAGTAAATGCAAGTGGTGCTGCACTTGCAGAACTATCATTATCCCTAGCAAACTTCATATAGATTCATGGTATAATGATGACGTTGAGCCAAATGCTCTCATTATTGTAAATGAGAGTGGGTATTCAAACGACTACATTGCAATCTAATACCTTATGCATTTTATCTAACTAGCATATGGCAGTAGATGATACTCGCCTCTTATTAGTTAACGGCCATGACTCTCATAAAACAGAGCGCTTTCTTACATTAGCAGAAGAGCATAACGTTGTTATTTGCTACCTTTCTATACAACACATCTATTACAACCTCTTAATGTAGCAGTTTTTAAATAGTGTAAACACTTTCATCAAAAGGCACTTGATTAAGCAGTATGTAGCTACTTGTGCTGCCTGAAAGTCTGTTGACAGTCTGTGCACCACAGCCAATTAGAGTGTAGGAATTGAGACAGCACCGATGTACCCAAGTACGTAGATTTTGTAGAATATGAGAATCAATGAAGCAATTGCCAACAACTCAACTCAACTATGGCAGAAAATCTCAATACCATTACGTTGCAATCATTACTCTACGAGTATTTACAAAACTATCATTTACAGAGATTAGAAAGGAGCTTGGAGTATCAAAAGAAGCAGCTGGGAATATATGGCAGAAAGTAGTTCAAAGAGTAGGGAATACAGATATTCACAACCTTCTTGAAAATATTACCTCATAACCATGAAGCGGAAGGCCTCAAACGATTGAGAAGGACTCTCAAGAGTCACTACAAGTACGATCTCTACTACTTGAAAATCCATTCAACACATTTCAACAAGTTATTGATAAAGAAAACCTACTATACACACGATCAATTGTTAAACAAGTTGCAAAGAATCACTCAAGCATCAAAATTCCCTACCCTATTGTATGCAAGAAC